GATCCCAGATGTTGTTTTGGTTGACGGGCTAGGTAGGCTTGGCTCTGCTGAGGTTCAATCGGGTAGTCATCTAAAACCTGACTCGAGCCGCGGGAACTACAACGACAGACGTCTGTGGCAGTCACGTGCTGACTGCTTCTGTGCAGTAGTAACTTACTAAACCGCTGAAACCGCTTAGACATACGGTGCCTCCCGCATGCAAGCCAGACTCTAATACAGATGGGCCACATCACAACTGGCTGTAGGTGGCACGGGTTCAGTTACTGCCGCTTGTGAAACAAGTCTACTAGAACCAATGACTGAAACCCCTTTTGGACAAGACATATTTTGATAATGACCTTCACTGTCCCCAATCCTACAGGATGCTGAGCAATCTGCCTGTGGAGAGACGCAACCAATTAGACACAAGTTTTGGGTCTCGAGCAATGCTGAAAACTTTCTGGAGGCGTGGACACGTGCTCCTCTTGGGCTGGAGTACAACACAATTCGACAAAATGTCATACCTCAGGTGGAAAAATCACCTTATTGGATCGAGGATTCCGGAGCTGAAGAGATGGAGCAGACGAAGGACTCGTGGAATATGCATAAAAGTTTCTAGTTGCTAGGCGCAGCAGGCCAAAGGAGGAATCCGGTTGGTGATAAACTAACCGACATGTATAGCTCGTTTATCCAAAAAAAAATAAACAGCGCCGAAATCGTCGGTTGAAAACTTCAGAGAACAATTCATTTAACCTTCAAACATGGTTGTAGAGCATTGAAACTCCAGGTTTCTCATCTGTTGTTGCTGCTGACGATGATGATGATGATGATGATGATGATGATGATGATGATGATGATGATGATGATGATGATGAGGATGAGGATGATGATGATGATTCTGGTGATGATGATGATGGTGATGATGGTGATGATGATGATGATGATGATGATGATGATGGTGAAGATGATGATGAAGATGGTGATGAAGATGGTGATGATGATGGTGATGAGGATGATGATGACGATGATGATCGGTTGCTCCACCTGTTTCTCTGTAACCCGCTCACTATTCCACAGGTAACTGATCCAGAGGGATGGTCGCTACGAGTTAGCGGCAGGGAATTCCTGGAACGTGGTGCCCTGCATCTTCTGCCTGGCTTGTTTTCCAACGCTCGGTGGTCTTCCGCGTGGTCAGATGATACT